GAATATTTTGTTTAGAGACTGACAGTTATACTGATTCTATTATAATTGTTGTAGCACTTAAACTATTTTCTGGTATTTGGAAATTAATCATTTTCTGTTTTGTTTAAGAAAATTACATTGCTGCGTTTATACTCTATAAATTGCTAAGGTACGCTTTCTGTTACTTCATTGTTCTTAACATTGTGAAAAATTATTTTGGGCATATAGGGATTGAAGAAAAATTTTGTAATTGTTTACTGAATTCAAAAAGTTTTTGAAAAAGTTTAGAACACCTATTCACCCCCCTGTAGGTGTTCCGTAAGCGTCCTGTGTAAGAAGCCACTTGCCCAACAAATCATTCATATCATTAATACATAGTAATTAATCAAGTCATATACAAGACTTAACCATTTAATGATTCCACATTTCGTACTTATATGCCAATAATATACCCATTACAAGTCTAGACCATTTATTCCATATTTACATATTTTTAGTGCATTATGAAGTGTTCACTTGTTACACAATCAACCATATAGCTTAAGCACTTTACATAAACTTAGAATTACACTCTAAGACAACTAAGATAACTTGTATTATTTTCAACCCATCCTAGCCATATATATCTTTCATGGTTGTAACACACATAGGGTACATAAGGTGTTCATTTGTTCCCTAAGTCCACAATAACTCATTAAACACTTAGTCCATTAATAAACTATTTTAGATTAAGGCCTTTCCCACTTAACTTAAAAATAATCAAGACATTTATCATCAACATAAACCTTGAACATTAATTATTATAAGTTACTAAGGGGTTCCCATAAACCCACTTAGCCTAAATCTCACTTTTACGGTTTTCCTATAATTGTACACGCTTCTTTTTTCTAGTCACTGTGCGCAACCCACTTGTTATAAAATTCTCATCTTTGTTCTGTTAATCTAGACTCAATTACCTTTCTAAAAAGGTATCACATGCCTCATTTGGAGTTCTCTAGATCTAGTAATCACCGTTTGAAGTTGGACAAGCAAAACTGCCTTCCAACTCCAAATAGAGCCCCAAACATCCCTCACCATTTCTACGATTCTAGAAAATCTACTAAACCAATTGCTCTCAAATTTTTATGCAGAAAAATAGAAACCTTCATTTTTAATTTGATATATCATGAGCCTAATTTCACTAAGAACTGAGCGATAAAAAATTCGTGAAAGATGCACACATGTACAGCCCCTGCACATGACCTCCCTGGGTAGTCTCCACTCAATCGGACCTACAAAACGCTACACATCTTCAAATTGTACCAAATTTTGACATAACATATATGACATCTATAGCTTCAAAATTATATATGGTAAATTCCTATTGGACCTCTGTGGCGGGAGATGTGCTATCCCAAATTTAGCCTAAAAACTGGTCATTTAACCAAAGTATGTTTAATTAGCAATTTCTAATTAGGTTTAGTTGGAAACCCTAAGTTACTTTAATTTTAATATTTTTATATTATTAGGTCAGTTATGCATTCAAACATAGTCACATTAGGTCTTAGTTCATTAATTTCACTAATTATATAGTTAGTGCTTCTAAACCTTAATTAGGTCCAATTTTAGAATTTTATAATTAATTAGTGCATTATGCATGGTCCACCTCACTTAAAACTTAGATTATTATCCTAATTAGGTCTTGAACCAATATTTGACATACTAACCCTAATTGACCGAATTGTTTAAATGCTATAAACAAGGTTTTTAACTCTTCAACTTCTCCATTTCTTTAATTAATTAAGTTCTACACTTAATTAGTCCACTAATCCATTATTCCATGAATTATTTGAACATAAAATCCTAATCATTCTCCAAGGGGCAGATTTGAATAAGTGGTATTATTAGGGTTCAAATACATTCCTTAATCATAATTAGTGTTCTTAAGATTAAATGTTACATTTTTAACCTTTCCCTTGGTCCCACTTATGATTATCCACACTTTAGAACATCAAGAACCAATTTTTATTAATTTGAAACATCAACCCCATGATGAACACATGTTGGCTGAATTGTGCATGTGGGTGGGGGAGAATTTTGGTCACCATTTCACCAAGGTTTTATGCTTACTTCTCCAAGTGAGCACCAAGGCTTCAAGCTCCCATCTTTCTCAAGCAAAAATGTTTTCTTTCCACAAAGAACACACCTTTAAGAAAGACACTATGTTAGGACTCAAGAACACAACTCAAAGATAGAATTTTTCAAGAACAAAGTTCAAGAGACTTACATTAGAACTCAAGGGAATAAGCACTAAAGTGGTATTCTTCAAAGAGAACTCAAAACACCATCACCATAACTTGAACATACTCAAAAATCGCTACTGTATGGAGGGATATTCACCACGAAAATTTGGTTTTCAAGAACAAAAATGATATGTTCTTGAAGAGGAGGATGAGGGGAACAAGTTTTGTGAAGGGTGTTTGGTGATTTGATGGAGTTTTGGATGTGGAAATCTAGAGAGAAGGAGGAGAAAATTTGAAAACCTCCAAGATAGAGAGAGAAGTGTTTGGGCTGCTGATGAGAATGAGGGGAAGGGTCTCCTTATGTTTTTAGGGTTTTTGCCATGTCATTAAGTGACTTTCTGTCATTTAATGACACCTAGTGTAATTTTTCTCTGAACGATTATCAAATTTCTACCCGAAAACACCCAAGACTCTAACTTTAGTAATTAATATTAAATTGTCTAATTATCATGTTCATAACTTAAAATTTTGATTAGTAGATCACAGATCCACTTACTGCTGTTTAATTGCACTATAGTCTTTACCGGTATTCTTAATTATACCCGAATTTCATAATCTTCTTAACTTCAAAATTATTGGTCTAATTATGACTTGTTAGGCATATATTGGTCTTTCTTTCCATTTTCTCATCTTTTTTCCGTTCTGGGATTCTACCGGCTGCTTCTACAACAGTAAAAATACCCGACATAAGTGACTTTTCCAAAATACCTCAATATGGGTATCAAACTTCATCAAATCATATATTAACTCATCTATGATAATCATATCATCAAAATAGCTCTCTATCTCAAATTGTCTCAATTGAAACTATTCTACTGATTGTTACTGCGTCAACAGTCAAAAATAACAGATGAAAATCTACCTGTGTAAAATATCTTCAATATGGATATCAAACTTCTTAGAATTCCATCCTCATTCCATTTATGACCCTAAGGTCTTCCTAATAATCATCTAATTTCAAAATTATACAATTAGGGTTATTATAGGGAGCATGACATGGCATTCATGAATGAATGAAGAAATAACGCGTGAAGTGAATAGCCATTAACATGTAAAGGATAAGGCGAAGTTATACATATATTTATAGTATTTTAAGAGAGAAGATGGTGAAATTAGTGGGGCTAGGGTCACAGCTCACACAAGGAAAAAATTTAAGGTGTACCCGTCGCATTAAACTCGGTGCGACGGTCATGCATTTTTATTAGGATATGTAGATGGATCTTGGAGTCTTAAAAATTTATGCATGATCTGCATATAATAAAAATGCACTATCGTCGCACTGAACTTTAGTGTGACGAGTGCACCGAAAATTTGTTCACACACGAGAGCCTTTATTCTTTATGATCCCCATTTTCTCTCTAGTCATATTAGTGGCGATTGAGACGTGAAAACTAGGGTAAATGCTCCTATTGTACACTCCATTATAGACATTACAACCGGGTAAAATGGATCTTTTGTGAAGAGAGGATTCGGAAAATATAATCCTATCAACATTGAAGCCAAAAAGGGCAAAGGGGAAATTTCATTTTGGAGTCTTGTACACCTTCATATATGAGCCTTCATATAATTGATGCTTTTCTTCTTGTGTTATGTGGTTAATTATTGAAGTATTAATGAAAAACCACTCCCAGAAATCCGACTTGGGAGGATAGGGATGAAGTATTACTGAATTATCAATAGAATTTATAAGTAGAAAGTATCACCTATAAAAACACATAACCTTTTTTTCAATTGAGAAAAGAACAAGGAAAATAATGGCAATAATTTATTACTATACTTATTATAGGTCTAAGGAAAAACATTGGGGGGAAATAACTTCGCGTTGCACATATGACAAATGGAATTAGCATCAAAAGTTAAGAAAGTTTAGTGAAAATAACAATATTATTGATTGGGTGAAAACTTCGGCTAGTATAAAAAAGTAACATACTACCATATTGCAAATTAAATAGTCACCAAGAAGTTATTTCTTTCAAATGAATTTATTCTAATACATTGTTTATTAGGTATAAATATCATAAAATATATCATCAGCATAAATACATATTATTTATTAAATACACTCTCATGCACATCTTAAGTATCCCAACAATTATCTATTTTGACCACAAATAAAAACATTTATGATAAAACATAAATCTTTAACAGGAACTTTTTTCTTTTAAAATGAATTTATGTACAACCTATAACTGCACGTTCGGAATGGCTAAATTAATTCAGTGTCGATAATGATATTATCAATGGAAGAAATCACTACTAAAAAAAAAGAATGAAAATGAAATATAACATCGACAGCTAGCCCATCATCCATTAAAGAAACGTGAAGTAGTGGTGACAATCATTGATTAACCGTGTTGGATTAGATTGAATTAACAAGTTGGTATAAATTCTCTACGTGATAACTGATAAATCGATTTCATCCAGAACACCACTTTATTTTCTAATGGAAGAGATTGCAAAGGGGTATTATCATTAGACAACTTTCTTCTACAAAACAAAATGACATACTTTAAGTACATATTGTTGTGAAATATAAAGTATTCAATTCTCAGACAAAGGTGACAATTTATTAATCTTTTTTGTGGTGCAAGTTTAATCTTTAAATATCATAAAATTCCCTGAATACCATCAAATATGAGATTCCTATACACCACAAGTCATAACTGAACTGTTCTATGCCCTCAAAGCACTACATAAATAGTACAATTTATCTACTACAGATACACTAATATACATTTCTGCCAGTTCTCCCTTTACAATGAATCCGCATGCCATTCAGAATAAATATAGAATAGAAAAAGCTACCACTCCCGATCCAAATATGAGAAGGGTTACCAGTAATAAATAAAACACCGGCCAACTCAAGTAGGTCTCAAAGTTGGGTGAAAAAGAATGAGCTTTTGAATATTGGATTTAACTTACAAAAATGGGGACTTCATGAAGATTACTATGTGCATAGAGACAGCCACAATGCTTACAGGTAGTAACTTGGAGAGAATGGCTATCTCTGAGCTGCTGACACTCAGCGGCCCGGCATTGACATACTCATCCTTGCTTGTCGTCACGGAGACATTTACAGACATGGAACCTAGTAGCAATTTAAAACTTAAGACAAGGAGACATTTACAGACATGGAACCTAGTAGCAATTTAAAACTTAAGACAAAGTGAAGGAAGGATCATATATACTCCTTGTAGGAAAGAGAGTTCATGTGGTGAACTTACAGTCATAGTTAGTCCACCCAATTCGTTGATGTGCTAAATCATAGACAAATATCTTATCTTTTAGGACTAGATCTACAAAAGAAGGAAAAACAAAGTTGATACACTCAATTCTCAGAATAACATAGTTGATCACTTGCTGATCTGATACATTTGATGCATAACTTACACAAAATAAAATGAAAAGGCTAATTTAAGATTAGCATACTTGTTCATGATGTTTTCAAGTCAAAAACAAAATCAACTTTTATCAGAATGCCTAGCTTTATGAAGATAAGAGCAGGAGTCCACCGGCATCTCTATGGAATTTGGATTGGGACAATTGACAAATAATGAGAGAATCTAACCTTTTTTTAGCTCATATTTTAAAGGTTCTTTAGATGCTGAATAAACTAGTCTGAGATAAAAGTGATATTGATATTGATGTTAATTTTAAAGTTCCATTAGAATGTTTACTGAAATCTGAAAATCAATATTGACTATTGTTTTGAAGATTTTTAGTAACACAACTGGGTGTTTTTCCATTTATTAGTTCTACCAAGAATAATGGGTTATGTGAAATTGTGAAGTAGTAACAACCGGAAGTTCTCAATGAAATGATGGTACACTAGCTGTTTACCACAGATACAGAAGACATATTCAATAATTTTTTACTATTTATTAAAGTACTCATTTCATAATCAAATGAGAGAAAGTTTAAACTTCTTCTAATTCCTTGAAGATTTTAGTCAGTTTAAATTTATCCAGCATCTAACCTCCTAAAATTGTGACTCCCTCCTGCACTTTCTGGAAACCGATGCACCACATTGGAGCACCATCCTGTTACAGCAAAGTGGCACATCAGCATATTATCAATGGCATACAACTCCGAATAATAACTTCCTTCTGTAAGAATATAACCAACAGTGTAACGGACATACTTACAAGGAAAGCATTATGCATAAGGTACTGTTCTGGTTTTAAAACCATTGTTGCTCCGTCAGCAAAGTTTAAACTGACCGGAGGAAAAATATCACCTACACTGAATATGTAACAAACATAAATTCTAATGAGATAATCACATATCCTAATAGGACAAACTACCTTTTTAAGATGAAAGAGAATTTAAAGATCTTTATAACAAATAGAATAAATACCCTTTTGAGTCCCTAACAAAAAACACGGTTCCCACTTTAGTCCCTTACAAAAAAAAAATTAGTCATCTAGTCCCCATGAAATTCAAAGTGGACCCATTTTAGTCCTTTTGAGGGACTAATGTGGGTCTTTTTAGAATTTGTGAGGGACTACGATTTCAACTAAATGCCACCTTGAATTTCTTAGGAACCTCGAGTATTTTTTTGGTGAGGGATTAAAGTGAGGACAGTATTTTTTGTCAGGGACTCAAAAGGGTATTTACTCTAACAAATATCATATTTGTAATAACCTGGCTGAGACCAGATAGCACTGACTTCCTTTTGAAATAATGGGTCTGGCAGATTGTGACACAGCAGTAGTTATCTACACATTCATTTAGAAATTCAACTCAGTATATGTTGTAGGTTAGGTAAACATCATTTCTTAAAATACAAGATAGATATGCAAAAGGAAGAATTTGTTTGCCTCCCTTCCAAACCTTCTTTAAAATAATAATAAGAAGAATAATCATAATAATAATATAAGAAAGAGGGTGTAAACCTCAGTATGGTGTTTGGTTGCCTAAGTATCTTACGGCATGCAAGCCCTCAATAAATCATTTCCATATTTTTAATAAAAGCAATTATCAATTAGATCAATGCATGGTTCAAACTTAATCTATAACTGACATAATAAAACTTTATATAGATCAAATGAGACAGGAGTATAAGAATCCAAAAGAATTCAGTCAATAAACATGTCAAATTGTGATTTCAGGAGATAGATAAAACAAAAGACATGCAAGCCAAAGTGTAAGAAAATATCCTCGTATTTTACTTGCAATGCCCGAATCCTCATCGTGGAGAAGTCAAAGGAGAAAATACAGTACAATGTCTCAAAATTTTGGACGAGGTACAAGAAAACTTACAGCATTGACAAGAGGATCATAAGCTTCTTGAACAAGATATGCCAATGTTGTGCCACAGTCAACTATAGTTCCTCGGTTGTTAGCTGTTGCAAATACAGCTGGATTAATTGAGAGGAGTTGCCCATTGACAGCAATGCTCAGAAGATTTAAGTTGTAATGAGGCCTGAGATTTGATCAAGGAACAAGTCAAATACACTGCAATACATCTCATTTAGAACTGCAAATTAATAGATAACAAGAATAATAGCATAACACGCATTTTATATTTCCATTTATATTCATTTTAATATTAATTTCAAGAAAAGAAATTTTGAAATGGTTTTCCGTTACCAAGTTCATTCACACATACTCACCAAGGGTGTGGTATGTAATGTAACTTTGTGCAAGAGAAAACATAAAGGAAACCAAAGGGATTATTACAGAGAGGATTTGACAAATCCCTTTAAGACAATATCATCTTGAGAAACCAAAAGATGTTTCTTCTCCCCAAGACACATGAACCCAAATATATCAACATCTTCCAGACTCACTACTTTTATAACAAGAATACTACCCAAAATCAGGGTACTAGGCTAAAAACGATAAAACAGAATTCACCCCACAGAAATTATCAACTGAGGTTAAAAAATTGACATAATTTTAAGACATCAAACATTAACATATTGCACAAAACAAAAATGATAAGCTTTGTATAAACTGCGGATATAAAAAAATGATTAATTAGATAACTTTTCAAATGATCAAATGGCAGTACTGATTTTTCATTTCTTGTCATCCACACTAGTATATTATAATACCAAATTCCAAACTCCAAAGTGATAATATCATAATTACTTAAAAAGTAATGTTTGACAATTGATACTAATGGAAATACCTAATTCCATCAGTTTCTTTCAGAAATGCCAGGTAGATTCCTTTCATAAGAATTTTATGTAATATTAGAGGAAAATTGTCCACTAACTAAGGAAAGAAAATGAGAGAGGAAGTGCCTAAGAGAACATACTGTGATGGGACGAGTGGACTATAAACAATACTTGGCTCCAAAATCTCACCAAGAACAAGGATGCCTCCTCCATTGCCATCTCCTTTTAAGCAATGAGAGAAAACTTTGGGTGTTATTCCTCGTGATGACAATTGTGATACAACAGATAGAGCACCAGGGCCAAACCCAAAAATTCCATCAACTGCTTTATCTGTCTTAGTCAAATCTCCAGACTGATAGGTGCTACACCTATTGCCAAACCAACCACCCAAAAATGTTTCATTTCAAACCGAAATCCATATTAAGTATTGGCATAAACACAGGAGGGAGTAAATGCAAAGACAACCAAAAGGGAAGCAATAGGCAAAAAAATTAACAACATGACAAGCAAACCCCATATGTTTACCTTTTCTTCCCTTCATTAAAAAATCAATCTATTGACAAATCTTACATTACCAATTAACTACCCCTTCCCATTCCCTCTGATTTTCACGCCTACCAAGCATGTACCAGGTTTCCCTCTGTAAAGCTAGACTCCTCTCTGACCCTCCCATCTTGGTATATTCTTTATATGTTCCCGATCCCACAATCAATGTATGCATCTTATTCACAATAATAAGCATAAGGGCTCACCCAAAAACAATGGTAGCCGAAGAGTTAGCCGGCAAAGACTGTCCCAGGATCATGTCAAAATACATTGCATCAGAAACATAATAACCCGATGTCCCACTTCCATCTCCATACTGAAAGGTGTAGCTGCACTGATTAACTTGAGGGGAGCACTCAGCTGCTGCACCTTGAACCCCAGAAGTGCATATTGGATCTGAGCAGGAAACCAGCATAGCTGTGGACGAGCCAACCGTGTCAAAGAAATCGAGCTCAATCTGTACAGTGCAGAACACAAGTAACAAGAAGAGCAAGGCATAAAGATAAAAATTAGAACCTTATTTCCCAAGTTACCACAAGTATGCAAGATAACAAGCATCAAATTCAAAATTCTCACCCCTAGTCCACTAGATTGAGGGCAATTGCTGCAAGTATTGCAATTAACCCACAAAATGTCACTTCCAGTATCAATCTGAACATTAAATTCTCTAGGAGGAGATCCCATCTTCACTTTGGTAAAATACAGCCTGAGCAAGAAAAACCAAGATTACCCCCATGTTCAAAGAGCACATACATAGTGCTTTTAGTAGCTCATATTAATTTCCTTTAAACAGATTGTAAAAGACAATGAAGAAGAATAGTGCAATTCTCAAACAAACAAAATAACAATGTGAACATAAAACTTCCAGAACCAATCAATTAAAGGCAAGACAACATAAAAATATGATCTCACTTTCAAATGGGCAATCAGAAAAAAAAAAAAAAAAAAAAAAAATCAGTACTACAATATTGTAACATATTTATTCTAATACAAAAAATGCACATCCCACAAAAGGAAAGAGAATGAAAATAAGAAAGGAACCAAGAAGAAGGGGCATATAAAAAAAGAAACTTTATGATAAAGGGAGAGAACCCAGAAAGAGAATGAAGGTTGAGGATTACCCGTACCCAACGGAGTATGGATCGGAGGTGCCTTGGACTGAGAAGTCGACGACGCCGCCACCAACCACACCTCGCAAGATTCGAGCATGGCGGGCTCTGTCGCGAGCTCTCAGCGCCTCCAGCTCCACACGGTGGCTCAGAGGAATGCCCCGTTCCAGAGAGAGGAAACCGCTGCACGCCACCGACACCAACACCGTGGCTAAGGCCAACAACGTCGGAATGCAACGCCGCATTCTCGTTCCTATCTGGGTTTTCTCTAATGTGAATGGGAATGGAACCGTTGCTGGTGGCTTTGGTGCATCGAAAAGTTTAAACTTAGAAAGATAGAGAGAGAGAGAGAGAGAGAGAGTTACAGTTCCTTCAGAACATGATAGTTGCTGATTACTGTCAATCAGCTGAACTCGTGTTTAGATTAAGTGATTAACAATAAGGCAACAATTTGTGACTTGGGATGCTATTACCACATATCGACCCCACCATAATTTGCTTTGTTTTAATTTTTAGTTTAAATTTAAGCTATTTGGTGTAATGTTGTATGAACGGTGACACATTCCATAAGCCTGTCAAACTTTTCAAAAGTGCAGGAATATTCCTAATAATTATTATGTTTTTTTATTTTGATAACGTAATAACCAAATAATGTTACTATCAATGTTATTACCACATCTTAACCGTTGGTTTTCGTCAATCAACGGTTATCATTTATTGCGAATTAATAATTAATTAATGAGTTTGATTTGAAAAATGATAACCGTTGATTGGCGGAAATCAACGGTTAAGATGTGGTAATAACATTGATAGTAACATTATTTGGTTATCACAATATCTTATCCCTTTTTTATAAAGAAAAAATATTATTGTTATGAAATTAATAAGAACTAGAAAAAAAATTATAAAGACAAGAGAAACATGGAAATGAATTCTTGTTATATTCTATTAATTTCACAACACATTATCAGCACGAATAGAAGAAGAATTCATTCTCATATTTCTCTTGTCTCTATAATCTTCTTCTAGTTCTTATTAATTTCACAACAATTACTTCATGTTACCTGATAAAAGAATTCTTTCACGCACTCACAAATTAAAGATAAGAACCACTTTATATTTTTTCTCTTTCCTGTATTTTCTATCCTTTAACTTATGAATGAATAAGAGAATTTTTCTTTCACATGGGAATAATATTCCTCATTCATAAATTATTCAACTAATATAGTCAAACCAAGTCAAGTAAAAATAAAATGATTGTAAAAATTTTCCTATTAATTTTTAGAATTCAATGCCTCTCGTATTTAGGAAATAAATTTATCTTTACGTATATATAAAAATATATGAAATTTATGTGGATTCATATAAGAAAAAGAGAGAAGGAGAAAACATAAACCTCATATGTGTATAGAAGATAATTTTTATCTTTTACTATATAAGAAACATTAAATCTTAATTTTTAGTACAGATATGTATATAGGACTCGTGTTAAGTTTTAACATTGATCTAAATTTGGTGGTAAATATTAAAGCTTTTTAAATAGTATTTAAATCATATATTGTTCGTTATTTTACTGAAACTTGGGAGAGTCTATTGTTTTTGAACATTTATATATTTATAACTTTTATATGTTATAGACAAATAGATTTTTTAAACGAAGGAAATGAATCACGAAAATATTAAGGTATGAAAAGAGACCCTTTAACGCTTGGTTGTTTTTTATTGTTTATCTTATATGTCTATACCAAAAAAGTGATCTAAATCAAATATCTATTCGTGTGGTGGATCACAGTGAGAATATAACGGGGTACTTGTCCAATAACATATGATTTATCTTTTGCAAAGAGATTGTGGGGCCTTACACGAACTTGGATTGAAATTTGCAACAACGTCCATTGAGGCATACCAAGATCGTAAAACATAGAAAGAGACATGCGGGAAAACATACATTGATTTTATTCAATAATAGGGACTAGGGAGTTGGAAGGACAGAAAAAAGAAATTAAGAAACACTAATTTTTTTGGATACTAATGAAAAGTAAAAACAACAAAAAAGAACAACTACAAATGAGTTAGAAGTCATTCAGCAATAGAGGAAGACAAACAAATTTTAATTCATACATGTGTTATTTCCAATCATTAATAATATTATCAAGAACACATGGAAAAAAGTGGTTGTTTGTTTTCTGTTTTTTTTCTTCTTCTTGGAATTATGACATCTATGATTCATTGGTATATGAACTATATATGAAGTGAGAATTGTGTATTTATCATTGTTAATGCATCAGTATTTTAATATTAGGAGCTCGTTTGGATAGGTTTTTTTTTTTCAAAAGCTATTTTTTTCTTGAAAAAAAGCACTTCTTATTTTTAGTTCGTTTGGATTACTTTTAAAAAAAGAAAAAGTCACAAAAAAATCAAAAACTTACTTTATTCATAAGCTAAAAATTTTAACATCTAAAAAAACAGAAATCAAAAATCAAATATTTTTTTCAAAAACTAAATATTTTTATAAAAATATAAATAACTTTAATTTTTATAAAAAACACTCCTAAAATGAGAAAGAGATAAAAATTATTTTTTAAAAAAGGAAAAACAAACGGGCTCTAAGAACATGACCTTTGCTATAGTGATCTCACAGTTTTCTTTTCTTCTTCTTTTTTAATATGATTCGTATTAATCGTGTTGAGTTATAAAAATCATTTTAGTTTTTATTACATGTACATGATTATTTTAGAATAAAGTATTTTTTTGGGTCCTCAAAAAATATTACAGGGCCTAATTTAATCTTTAGGAAAAAAAATCAACTCATGGTCTCTCTAAAATTCAAAATAGACCTATGTTAATCTTTTTAAGGGACTAATATGGATCTTCTTTGAATTTTAGATATATCATGATTTCAACTAAATAAGTCTATTTTAAATTTTATAGGGACCACAAATCGACTTTTTTTTCTAAGGAATTAAAATGGGTCCTGTGATTTTTCTTGAGGACCCAAAAGGTAAAGATGTGCAAAATAACTAAAAAATTAAATCAAACTGAATTACACTAAAAAATAACCAATTTTTAAAAACAAATTCATGAATTGAATCGATTTTTAAAGAATCAATTCATGAACTGAACTGATTTTTAAAACCAGTTTAAGAACTCAACTGTTTTCGAACTATTCTGGGTTGGTCATATGGGCTTAGGCAAGCCCAAATAAAGTCGATATTAGAGTTAGGATAAATGGGTAAGGAGTATTGTTTAAGCACGAAACCCGGCCAAGGAACCCGGAACGTGCCAGCAACCCAAGCGTTATTGGTATAGATGGACCCTACCATGATCTTAATAATGGCTTTACCAGTAACAGCACACTTCTATTATAACCGTCGAATATGGTATATATATAAAGGGGGAAAAACTCTCTAAGACAGACACTAGATAGAAAAGTAACCCATTAATGTTTGTCCAGAACACGAACCGAACCGAACCGTTTTTAATCTGAATCGAAGTGATTTTTATTACTTTATTTCTTTAATTGTTTAATTTTTTTTCTTTTCATATTAGAGTCGCCCCAAACCGGTTCTGAACCAAACCGAATCGATTTTGAACCAAACTAAACTAAACTAAACTGAATCGATTTTGAACCGAACCGAACTAATTTTAAACTAAACCGAACTAATTTTAAACTAAACCAAACCATTCAATTCAGTTTTTAATAAAATTCAGTTCAATTGGACCAAAAGGTATTTTACTCATTATTTTATGTCAAAATTTGCTTTAAGTAAAAAAGCAAACCATAATAGACTAATAGTAGTAAATTTTAAAAGAAAAAAAAAAGCCCCATTCTCCCACATGCGAGACTGGTCACTATCTGTACAGTTGCCCAATGGCTCATTATTTGAAAGTTGAAATAAAAGGAATAAAATAAGATGTTATTATAATATGAGAATTTATATATTTCTTTTCTTTCTTTAGAAATCCTTCATTCCTAATATGACCCTAAGCATAAAAAATAAATAAATCGGGTACAACTAAACAAGAACGAGATAAAAATTCAACGTGCCTCTAAAGATTTAGCGCTGCATATGAAAGTTTAAATATATTTTAGGGATTTATACTTGCAGAAATATAATCTTCTACTATAAATTTATCAAACTGTGTGTCATAATTTTTTTATTTTAAAAAAAGTGGACCTCACTGATGAATGTATAAAGCCATTTAATAATTCTCTCAAATTACAAATGATAAACTATACACCTCTTTTATTCCTTTTTTTTTAACAAAAATAAAAGGCAAAATAGGATGATTATGAGGTGAGCAATTCTTAATTCAGGTTAAGATAACCGATAACTTTTAACTACGATGAATATGAGGAGACAACCAATTAGACACTTGTGAATTTTAACACCTTTTGCATTTGCTTCGAAAATATTCTAAAATTACTTTTATATATATATATATAGAGAGGAAAAAATGAAAATTCAGTCACTGGACCGTCCAGTGCACTAAGTTTTCCCGTGCGAATTTAGTGCACTAAATATTATAATGGTGTTCTCCCGAAAGAACATAGTTATAATATTCGCTATAACTGTGTTCTCGTGTGAGAACTTAGTGTACTGGACCAAATTTTGTATCCAGTCATTGTACACTCATTATACCCACATATATATATATATATATATATATATATATATATATATATATATATATATATATATAAATCCATGAGGAATTAAAGAAAAATCTTGTAATTACTAAAAAAAATACTGTTATAGTGTGTAAGAATTTGTTTTATCGTATAAACTATGTGTGCCCATGTGAGTATATATAGTGTGTAAGAATTTGTTTTTGAGAAAAATATTTTTGTTTTTAGTTACAACATAAAAAATTTTCTACCACACTTACATAAAAGTGAGTGGGTCCCAATGTAAAGAGAAAGGAGATAAAAGATTAGTAGGACCTATTTATTTTTATGTAAGAGTGACAGAGATTTTTTCAAAAACTAAAATATTAATATCTTTGTTTTTATTGTATAAACTATGTGGGACCCATGTGAGGTTATAAGAAGATAAAAGAGAGAACAAGAATATATGAACCTCATACATTTTTATGTGCGTAGGGAATAAAATTATCTCCTACAACGTAAGAGAGATTAAACCCTTAAAATATATCATACATGATATTATACAAGATTAAATGAATGTGATTATACTATAAAAGAATTTTTCATTTCACTTTCTAAACAATAGGAGCATAATATTGCATCTCACTTTCTCCCTTTCATTCCCCTTTAATTTATTGGAATATGTTTCTCATGTTACATGAGACAATCTTGTTTCATGCAACACACACAAAAATAGGTGGACTCCACTAAGGAGAATAGAGAGAGAAAAGTAGGACTTATCCACTTTTTGTTTGTTTCAACACGAGAAAAACATTTCATTTTATTTATTCCCTTGAATTAGAAGCCCTAGGCTTTATAGAAAGAACATCCTACATTTCGAAGACAGACTCGAAAATATATGTTGTAACATTCAAAATTTTATTAAAAGGTTACTTTCGTAATTTCTGTTCATTTTTCCATCAAAATTTTATTTTCAACCAAACATACACTCAGCATATTTAACCCAATTTTTCTAGTAATATTTTGCGGTACCAAACAACTTTTTTTAAACTTTCCTACCAAACTTATTTTCCTACGTTTTTTCTTGTAATTGCATTTTCGTAGTAAAAAAAAAATTTCTCCTGAACCAAACACCCCCTTGTTGGATTGTTATTTCTGTGTTGTTTTATGATTAAAATCGTTTAAAAATTTATTTTTTAAGTTTTGATGAAGCTCTCATAGCGAAACCCGATTTCGAGCATGTAAACCCACCAAATGAAGAAGAAGACACTGCAATTAGAAATATCAAGAAATCATAGAGGTTAGTATGAGATTGTGAGAGAGGCATCATATTTATATTTTTCACTAAAAAGTCATGAAATCTACACTATTAGAAAATTCACTAAAATCGTCAGATTTTTAGATAACACAATATTTTTTTTCTTTGTTTAAAATATTAATTGAATACCATCAAATTCCTAATGGAATATCAAGTAATTTTTTTCAATCTTTTAAGATCATAATTAAATATCAGTAAATTTTTTTTGCGTTGAATTTATGAGATCCTTTAAAATTTCAATCTAATATAAAATCTTCTTGTTACAATTATTATTATGGGAAAATTGTGTTTGTGTATCGATTTACAGGAAGTAAAGTTGTGTCATTTTAAGTGAGAGAAAGAGATAGATAAAAGAGAAGAGAAAGTGAAAAAAATATATATAAAGATATAGATCTCACTTCTTTGTGAAAGTAAAAGAATATAAATTCTGTCATTTAAAAGAACAAATATTTTTTCCTATTATTATTAAGTTGGGTTTACGCATCTAACTGTGCGATCTTAGTTTTGGTTTATGGGCCACCGCCATTTCAAACCCAAATTAGTTGCGTTGGGTTTACGCATCTAACTGTGCGATCTTAGTTTTGGTTTATGGGCCACCGCCATTTCAAACCCAAATCAGCACCCCCCTCTCTCTATATATTAGTAGTATATGTTTTTATTTTATGTAATCATTCTTCACACACAGCCGCCAAGCTCAATCCATTACCTTCTACTTCCCTCTGCGAATTTTATATTCCTTTTTTACTTTTCACTCAGTCTCGTCTACTACTGCTATGGCAGAACGATCCACCGCCGACACCTCCTCCGCCAGCGATGCTCCTCCGCCCTCGCTGGCGCCGGCTTCCTCGCCGAAGAGCTGGGCCGACGAAGCAGACGAAGAAACCAACGCAACGCCGAGCTCCGAGACAGCAACCTCGTCGCTCAACGTCGACGGATTAACGATCGACGAGAACAAGAAGCCTTCTCCAAAGTTCTTGGACGAGCCTGAAGACTCCAACATCCAAGCGGTTGGTTCGATCCCCATTCCCAATTTCTCTTCTCCCTCTTTCTCGGCGAGAAATTGACAGTTTAGGGTTTTTGAATTTCGGTGCAGGTTTCGTCCGGCGACACTCCGTACACGTCAGCTACCACCTTCGAAGAATTGAATCTCTCAACGGAGCTTTTGAAGGGACTGTACGTGGAGATGAAGTTCCAGAAACCTAGTAAGATCCAAGCCATAACCTTGCCTATGATCTTGAATCCTCCGAATAGGGATTTGATCGCACAGGCGCATAACGGTTCCGGAAAAACCACGTGTTTCGTTCTTGGTATGCTTAGTCGAGTTGATCCAAAGTTGCAGGCTCCTCAAGCTTTCTGCATTTGCCCAACCAGGGAGTTGGCTATTCAGGTAAGGTTCTGTGTTTATTTATTTATTTATTTATTTATTTATTCGTTTGTTGATCACTGTTATTGAACATTGTGACTGTGTTAGTTGTAGCTTGATGATTATTGTGTTGTGTGGCAGAATACTGAAGTTCTCCGAAAGATGGGAAAGTACACGGGGATTAGCTCAGAATGTGCTATACCAGCAGACAGTAGAGATGCTTTGCCGATAGCGAAACGGGCACCGATTATGGCTCAAGTGGTTATTGGGACCCCTGGCACGATTAATAAGTGGATGAATTATAAGAAACTTGGGGTGACAAGGTTGAAGATTCTTGTTTTTGATGAGGCTGATCAAATGCTTGCTGAGGTAATTCTATCGTGATAATGAAATGTTGTTTATTTAGAATTTGAGGTTTCATTGTCCTTGGACTAGGCAAGCACATAGCCTTGTCATTCACCCTGAGCTTATTATTGTTACAATCTTTTGGGGAGTTAGCAACACCCTTGTTTTTTAATAGAATAACTTACAATTAAGTGGTAGTTGTGACTCTCCTCCTTTAATGATGGACAAATGGGAAGAGGGCACTAGTAGACTGCGTGTTTTAACTCTTGACAATATATATCCTTTTCTAGTTACTAATTACTAGTATTCTAGAGATCCTAGGACCTAGTTTTAGGTTCGGGAATTGTTATGGTTTACTGAATTAGAATACTTTTTTAAAGCAGCGGTGTCCACAGTTCCGTTGCTAAATATGCTGTGTCCTAACTTGCTTAATTATTGTAAACTTTGCAGGATGGATTTAAAGATGATTCCCTGAGGATAATGAAAGGAATAGAAAAATTCAATTCTAACTGTCAGGTTTGTTGAACTCTTTCTTGCGTAGTGTGTTTGTGTGCTTGTGTGCATGGTATTTTCATCCATCCAAGAAATTCTGGTATAGACTTAGTCTACAAGTTGCATAGCCTAAGCTAAGTACACACTGACACATCATCATTTTACCTTAAATAACTACATGATATCTGTGTCAATCTACTACTTTTAAAATGATAGTTGTTTTTTCCTTATTTTTTTTTCTTATCTAAGAAGATTTTGATTGAATTGTGTATGTCCAGGTTCTTCTGTTTTCTGCTACATTCAATGACATTGTCAAGAATTTTGTTTCGAGGACAGTTAAGCAGGATCATAATAAACTTTTTGTGAAGAAAGAAGAACTATCTTTAGATGCTGTAAAGCAATATAAAGTGTATTGTCCTGATGAACTCTCTAAGATCGAAGTGATAAAAGATTACATACTCGAAATAGGAGAGAATGTGGGGCAAACTATAATATTTGTGCGCACAAGAAATAGTGCAAAAATGTTACATAAATCACTTGTTGATTTGGGCTACGAGGTTACTTCTATACAAGGCGCTCTTGGGAATGAAGAGAGAGACAAGGTTGTCAAGGAATTCAGAGATGGTTTGACTCAGGTTCTTATATCAACTGATGTTCTTGCCCGTGGCTTTGATCAGCAACAGGTGCTGAATCTCCCTCTCTTCCCTTTTAGTGTATGTACTCATTTGCTTTTCAATGCGATGACATCCTTCCATTGCATATTTATTCAGGTTAATCTGGTTATCAACTATGATCTTCCAGTGAAATATACTGCTGAGTATACCCGTGAACCTGAGCCTGATTATGAAATTTATTTGCATAGGGTTGGTAGGGCTGGACGTTTCGGGCGCAAGGGTATGATCCTAGTTCATGCCTCTTTGCATTGTCTGCTTACTGTTGTGTAATTATAATAAATTGTTGTAAGTGTTGTAATAAGTGGGTTTCATCATGTTAGTTTTTAAATATGTTGCTATTGTAGCTCAGTTAAGTTGCTTAGATGAGTTTCTGCATGTTTTAAACAAAAGGTTATTTATCTCTAACAAATCACTGTGCTAGCTTTAGCCATGCTTTCCATTGTATTATAATTATAAGAGTAAGAGCCTGTTTGGATCCTCTTATTTTTAAGCTAGAAGCTACTTATAAGCTAAAGTTAAAAAAAAGAGCTTAAAAAAATAAGCTAAAAGCTGTTTGGAAATTACATAAAAGTTTTAGCTTAAAAATTACTTAAAATCACATATTTCAAGAAAATTATCTTTCTCTCTATCTTTATCACTCTTCATTTAAAAAAAAAGCACACAATTCAAGAAAAATAGATAAGAGCTTAAAAAAAAGCTCCTCCTAGGAGCTTTTAGTTTTCAGCTTTTTTCTTCATTATAAAAAAAAGAGCTTTTCGTTATAAGAGCTTTTCCCAAAACCTGTTTGGCCTAGCTTATGCTTATAAGTAGCTTCTAGCTTAAAAATAAGAGGATCCAAACAGGCACTGAATCTGAGCACTAACTGTTTGGTTGGCATTATTTTCCTTAGGGGCAATTTTGTTGTCACATATCATTAGTTCAAAAATTGACCTGTGATGGAACTAGTAATATTTCAAGCAAGCTGAGTATTTGTATAGTGAATGTTATTTTGGGCTCAATAAAATTTATATAAAAAATGAAACGTGAAAATTGACTATGAATCTATAGTTCTGGACTTTATTGTGTCTAAATACATTTTTACTTTCCCCTACCCAACCAAGCAGACCCTGAGTTGGGCTGATTGATCCTGCTCGGATGGGGTTGTGCTCTAATATGTTGTGCCACACAACCACTTCATATACGATCTCAAATTTTTAATTTTATCATTGTACTCCTAAGGAAGTAAACTCAAAACTTTATTCTTCATAAAGTTATGCATGATATTTTCAGTAATGATGCAAAATAATAAAGCTGTTTGCCACTTGTTTCTTTTGATCCCACAGGGGCTGTATTTAACCTGATATGTGATCAAAGGGATGAAAAGATCATGTCCAAGATTGAGAACCATTTTGGCACCCATGTTTCTGAGGTATGCTACTTGATAATGGTTCTTGGATTATGATGCACCATGCTGCATAACATTGAATCTGAAAATTTTGATTTTGACTTTGTTTAGTATACTTGTGGAATTATGAACACATGCATCTTACATAACATTATTTCATCAATGTCACTGGGGATGCAGGTGCAAGAAAAAAGTGTTGAAAACTATAAAGGGGCTCTTAAAGAGGCCGGATTACTGAGGTGAATTGGCCGAAGTTGAAGGATATTGATAACTGTGTTTGCCTCCAAAATGTGCTTGGATCTGGCTAAGGATTTTGATCATATCCATGAATGCTTTTAATTTTTTACACGGACAGATGATGATCATGGTTTTAGTTGTGGAGATGAAGACTTCCTGTTCAGTATTTGTTTTTTATGTTACAGTGGTGATTTTTCTCTGTAAATTGGATATCAGGTTGTAATGGGGATAATTTGTAATGAGTCGGTTTATTTTTTCGTTGTAGTACTGTAACCACCTTTGAAAAATCCTTTTTGATCTTGTGGTATAACGTTATTACCCGACGGCAGCTTTTAGAGAATGAATTCTGGAGCCCTCCTGCCTTCAGCTTGGTAATAGGACAAAGAAGCATAAGTGTTCCTTGGCTAGCAACATAGCTTCTTCGGTGGTGTACAAGTCTGTTGAGGTCTCGGTCTATAGATTTTTCTCCTTCTATTCATTCTTCCTGCCGAAATCCAAAAATACTAAGCGAGAAAAGATTCAATTTTTTTCAAGCAGTTTCTTGGTATATAAACTAGTGAAGTATGGTCCATGAATGTATGGCTGTAAATCTCATCCCCAAGTCCAAGTTGGAAGGATATTTCCATTTTCGTACGTTAGCAAATATCAGCAGCTTTGAGTACTTTTTAAGTTTTATGATTTATTCATTGGATCTATAAGCCAAATCAAGGGTATGAGAAGAGATTTGGTGGTTACTTTCAAGTTTCAAGTGTCATTAATGGTCATTATTCATCACCGAACATCAATAACAAGCATACTTACAGTCAGGGTTAGCATTGGAAATTTCTTTTAAAAAAAGGGGTTGGCAAAGCTCATTTTGCCACCTTTAGGTCTCAGAGATGATTTACTTTAAGTGTTGTGTCGATAAATGATAATACAAGCGCAAATCTTATGTACTTACTATTTTATTTCTCTATCCCTTTTGCACATAATTTTAACATAATTAAGTGAGGTCCATGTAGTCAGCTGCGGTAGAGAATGAAGTAAAAATAATAAGGAAATATTTGTCCTTTAAAATGACACAAAGTTATGTCCTTTTAAAGGATATAATTTTGTGTCATTTTAAATTATAACTGTTGATTTTCGTTAATTAATAATTATAATTTATTGGGTAAAACTTATTAATTAATTAATAATTCGTAATAAATATAATTATTGATTGACGAAAATCAACGATTAAAATTTAAAATGACATAGAATTATGTCATTTAAAAAGATAAATATAAGCTTAAGTGCCGCACCTCTTCCAAGGACAATGGACAAACACCACAACTTGATATAACCCTTATCTCTTTATTCATCCATTGTTATTCCCATTTTTTGATTTTTCCAAGAAATTATGTCAGCTTATAAATTTATAAATTAAAAAAAAATACACATCTTCATAAGAAATATTATCAGTAAAAACCTCATGCCGTGATTTGGAATGAGACATTCTTCCAAATTTTTGTTTTTATTATAAAATTAGTACATTACCTTGGGGCAAAAAAATCAAAAATTTTGTCGATCGTGGTTGGTTAATCTCTAAAAGAAATCAAGAACTTCATCTTGATACGAAGCCCTGAATGGTACAATGGTAGAGGTATAAATATGACAAAAATAAAACATGGAAACCTTTTACTTGAGAAATATCTGAAATAAAAAAAATTATCTTGCTACTTGGGGGGGGGGGGGGGGGGTCGGCCATCTGGTCGAGCCTATTTTGTTACCTCTAACTGTCAGCATTTTATATCAACTTAATAAGTTTCTATATTTATCCACTCACAAACAAAATATTGTTATAGTTGCGTCTAAATTACTATCTACTATGTTTTCTATAGTTGTAAGTGATATACTAGATGAAGAGTTGACAAATATTTGAGTTGGCATGTTTAGTATTCTAACAAACACTTCATAGAGTATGTTGCATGTGGTAATATCAATAGATCATTCATTAACTTAATTGCTTAAATATAAATAATTATTTACAAAATTAACATAAACATATATATATATATATATATATATATATATATATATATATATAGGCATATATTTAATGCATCATATTTAATCTCAATAATACTTCAACTTTACCAATAATAATTTGGTGAAGAATATGAAAAGTCAACTACTCTTTGGTTGGAGATAACTAATCATAAATAACATTAAAATAATAATATACTCCAAAACATTGAGTGGTCATTCCTTTTAATAGAGTAATTAATAAGAATTAATAATTATTTTTTTAGTTGAAATGAAACTCTACTCCAAGGATAAAGTTTTGTGCAAGTGACTTAGTCATTACCTGACTATCCACCAAACTTTGTAAAGGCATCTTGTAACCTTTGATATAAAATACAAATGCTATTGTATTAGCTTGTCCCGTAGTCGTTAAAAAATTATGTAGTTTGACTTGATTTTTTCCAATATTTCTTAGAGATGGAATTTCATTTATCACAATCCGATTGTTTATTTTGTTTACATGCTTGTTTATGAAATATTTACACCAGTAAATCCAATGATCTTAGTCACACGAAGGCAGGTTTATTAGACAGTAAATTAAAAAAAATGTGTTGGCGAACTAACTCGCCTGTTTGGCAGCAAGGCGGGCCGGCCCTCCAGACCGAGCCCATTTTGCCACCTTTAACTGGCAGCATTTTATATCAGCATGTAATATGTTGTTATATTTATTCACAAAAAAGGTTCTTATAGTTGCATCTATATTACTATCTATCTATGTTTTCTATAGTTTCCTATAAATCAACTCTTTGATGTGTGTGTTTTTGTGACATATATATTAGTTGGAGACTTGGCAAAAATTTGAGTTAATACGCTTAATATTCTAACAAGCACTTTTTTGTTAAAGTCGAATATAGTAATATTAAAAGACTATTCATTAGCTTAATTGCATAAGTATAAAAAATTATTCACAAAATTAACATATATTTAAGCATATATTTAATGCATCATATTTAATCTCAATAATACTTCAACTCTACCAACAATAATTTGGTGAAGAATATGAAAAGTTAACTACTCATTGAGTTGGAAACAATTAATCATATAACATTAAAATAATGATATACTGCAAAACATTGAATGATCATTCTTTTTAATTGAGTAATTAATAAGAATAAATAATTATTACTTTTTTGCAAGGATTAGTGGCCTTAGTATATAAATAATTATATTTTTATATTAATAAAAATAAATAATTATTAATTTACAAATTAGTATTTACAAAGTTGAAATCAGATTTAGGAATTTAATTATAAAAGATAAAGGGTGAAATTTTAATTTAATTATAAAAATTTGTTGGCGGACGGGGCAAGGAGGTCCTCCGAGTCGAGCCCATTTTGTCACCTCTAACTGTCAGTATTTTATATCAGCATGTAATAAGTTTTTATATTTATTCACACAAAAAAGATTTTTACATTTTCTTCTAAATTACTATCTATCTATGTTTTCTATAGTTGCCTCTAAATCGACTTTCTTAAGAGTGCGTATTTGTGACATATATGTTAGAAGAAGAGTTGACAAATATTTGAGTTATTACGTTTAATATTCTAATACTAAGCCACACAAAGACGAATTTATTAGAGAGTAATATAAGAAAAAAATGTGTTGATAGCCCATTTTGTTTAGATGCTTGTTTTTGGAATATTTACAGCAGTAAATCCAATGATCTTAGCCACACAAAGAAAAATTTGTTAAACAAAAAAAAAACGTGTTGGCAGGGGTGGTGGGCCGACCCTTCGGACCAAGCCTATTTTTCCATCTCACACAGTCACACTGTCAGTATTTTATATCAGCATGTAATAAATTTTCATATTTATCCACAAAAAAGTTCTTATAATTGCGTCTATATTTCTATCTATGTTTTCTATAGTTTCATCTAAATCGACTTTCCGAAGTGTGTGTATTTCTGACATATATGTTAGATAAAGAGTTGACAAATATTTGAGTTATTACATTTGATATTCTAACAAACAGTTAGCCACACTAAGACAAGTTTGTTCGACAGTAAATAGAAAAAAACAAATGTGTTGGCGGGTGGGGTGGTCCAGCCCTCCGGGCCAAGTCCATTTTGCCACCTCTAACTATCAACATTTTATATCTACATGTAATGGATATTTATATTTAAAAATAATAAGTTATGACTGATTCATATTTTTATCACATATAATTTTTAAAAATTTAAATATAATTATAAATATAATTTTACTTTGGTTTTAAGTATTTACATTCAATTCTGTGATTTTACTTTCCAAAGAATTGGCTGATATTACTCCACAATTCGATACCATGATTAATTCTTTTGATTGTAAGTGTAATAACGTACCAGTTACAAAAAATAAATAAATAAAAACTCCTTCTGTTTGTTTTGGACAAGAATTAAAATAATCATTTAATATTTTTAATTTTCAAAAAACACCAATAGTTCAGTACTGTATTTTATTCACTAATATTATTTTATTATACTTAATTAAAATATTAAAGAAGTTAAAAATAATTACAATTTAAAATAATAAGTTATGCATGATTTATATTTTAAAGTCACATATAATTTTAAAAAATTTAAATATAATTATAATTTAAAACAAAATAAATAATTTTTTTGCCTTTTTTTTCCATTTATTTTAATCAATTTATTTGGACATTTATAAACAATATCATAAATATTTAAATGTACGTGTAAATATATATATATATATATATATATATATATAATATAACGTAAGATTTAATTAGTAATACATCTAAAATTTATTTCATTTATACCTAGGTTTATTAAATTTTAATTTTAGCACCTTTAAATATTTATTATAAATTAACTATTATATTTGTGTAATCATTTATTTCCTTTATACTCTTTTGAGTCTTTTCCCACCTATCAAGTCCAAAATTCAAATTTAATAATTTTAAATTTTAAATGTTTTTCCATTTAATAGACATAATAATAAATATTATTAATAGGCTTTACAATTTTTCATGCAGAAAGTAGTGAGAAACATTAAAAAAATCTGTAAAATACTTAATAACAAAAATCTTTTTACGATGCAGAAGTTGGATGGTTACTGGTGATTGAATGATCATTCATTTTAATTGAGTTATTATTAATAATAAATAATTATTTGTTGTAAAGATTTGTGGCTTTTTTAACAATCTAAATTATTTATGTTTCTTAAAATTGAATATTTCTTGTTTTTTCAAATGATTGGAAGTTAAATAATTAGAACCATTGTTGTTAAACTCTATTTATCTTTACGATTTTTTTTCATCAAAATAATTTTACTAATATTCAAAAAGCTTTTACGTTTTTATGATTTTTTATAATTTTTTTACATTACAATTTTACGTTTTACGAAATGTTAATCCCCTTTCGATTTTACGTATTATTTAAGATCTCGATTTTAACAACATTAATTTGAACTTATTTTTTTAAACTGTTTAGAAAATATTTAAGCTACTATTTTTAGGTTTTAATTTTTATGAAAAAATTATTTAATTATTATGAGCTTTTAAACATATTTTTTAATTTTAAAACATTTTTTAAGCCAACTAATGGGTTGGAAACATGTAATCATAAATAGCGTAAAACTTTATTTCGGTAAAATTTACTTTTTAAAGCTTCTAACAAAATAATGCTTGGTTTTTATTTGCAGCAGCGAAATCAATTAATTCTAATACGTTTAATAATTAAGCTCAATAGAGCTAATAGTAAATATTATTAATGGGTTTGTGTTTTCTAAAGTTACTTTAGATAACTTTATATAATGTTC